CAGTTGTCCTCAGGAAATGGATGGTAAGGAAACATGAAGATTCTTCGCTGACATGTATACTTTCTCTCAAATATTCGTTTTTCACATCTACCCTTACTGGGGCCCCATGCACTACTGTCTACATGAGCTCCTGCCTTTGTGACACTTGTAGTAAAAAGAAGTTATAGTTAAGTTCCCAAAGATCAAACTGCTAAAAGTCAGAAGATTCTGTTGACTTAAAATGGCTCTGCACACCACCACCTCTTTTGAGCATGGAAAAGCAGTATTACACAAGCATGTTTTATCATTTTTGTATCAATTTATTACAAGTACTCAACTATTTTATAAAACTTCAAGTAATCTTCACTCAGTACCATAATTGTCAGCAAGTTTGCTCTGTGTTGGCCACCCTTCTTTTTGTTTCAGTCTTTCATAAAAATCCTTTTGTGTGACAGTCAAGCAGCTGTGCTTTGTTCTTTAATGTTCCTAGCCTGGATCCCCAGCCGAGACCACTTTATAACATAAACGGCAAAGTACCATTTTCGCAGCAGGGACAACTGTGTTCATCTTCAAAAAGAGGCATTAATAAAATGAGACTGTAATGAACATGCTAATTCTGATCTCAGGGTATTACACAATGGCAGAGAGAGCTGACTGCCATCTCCCTGAAAGATTGTAAAAGTTGTGTGGTTTCTTTTTCTTTTTAACAACTGCTATAATGGCTTACGTTTTTTGAAACAGACATATTATGCAAACATTTCTCTCTGTTTCCAAGTGCAATGCCTCCTCTGTCTTATCCAACTGCTCACTGTGTGTTTTAATATCTCAGTAACAGTCACCTTCAGGGAGCTTATTTTTTGCAAGAACTGACTTCCTGAAATAGGCGCATCACTGAATCATAGAAAGTTAGAGATCTCACTGGTCTGATCAAAATCTGAGACTTCTCTGTGTGAATGAGGTTTAAAAGAGAAAGAAAAATGAATAAATCAAAGAACAGGGAAGTCAACAGATTTGAATAAAATACCACAGTTCTCTTGTGACAGAGCCAGAGTTGGAAACTCATATAACCTCAGATCTAGATTTAGGTTCTCTGTATGTTTGTTGTCTTGCATCCTAAAGGTGAGCATTTGCAAATGATGTATTTCTGTGTTGAGTAGATATACTCACACAAGTATCATTTATTGAAATATACTTGCCAAACTAGTGCCTCATTTGGTCAACTGATTTTCTTAGACAGTAACTTACTTTGAATGTGTTCTTTGTACAGCCTACTTTCTTACATGTAGATAAAGGCAGTAATGTTAAACAGTATACCCTGTTTAGTTGTGGTAATGACGGTGGAGACTTGAGGGACAGTAGTATTCTGGGAATGGGAAAGTTTCTGAAAGTAAACAACTAAGCTTAAGAAAAGGAGCTATTACATGCTGGCTTGAATGACAACAAAATGTGTCTTTTCTGATTAGTGCCTTAAAAAACAAAACAAACAAACAAAAATAACTAAGTTTAAGAAATATGACATTTAGTCAGATGTTTGAAAGACAGAGTTCATTGCAGAACTATCTCTTAGAGAGAGAAAACAAAAAAGGATTCATGAAACTTTCCCTCTAGCCTCAAAAAGGCTGGGTTTTCAGTAGGTAGGAAAGTTTGTATGTAGTGATACAGCATTTCCCTATCTAGTGACTGATAAAATATATCAGGGAGAGCATTTTCATTCCCAGTTATCATTACATTAATTTGTTATTTCAAGTTTTCCTGCCAGTATCTTTGGTCAGGAAGAAATTGTGGACAATAAACTATGGATCCAGATAGAACCTATTTTGTTGGAATATCCCTTTTCTTAAAGCACCTTGTTTTGTGCTTTCCTTGCCCCTCTCTAGCCAATCATCTTTAGCAGCATTCCACAGTTAGGCAAAGTCCAGCCCTTAATAAGACCTCAGAGAGTCCTGTGGCCTTCACTTACCATTCAGCCTCTAAAGTACCATGCAACTAGGGAGCTAGTATGTGCTTGTCATTTGTACAACTAGGACAAGTGAAAAAAAAAAAAAGAAAAGTTACCTACAGGATCACAGTCAACTAACTTCCCTTCTTCCACTTCTTCCTCCGTGAACCACTTCTACAGGGTAAATGGCTACTTGCCCAAATATCTCATTCCAAGGCACGTTCAGCCTTGAGCTTGTAGTTAACCTTCCTTACAAAAACAGTATTTCAGAGCCACAATAAATTGAAACAAGCTACTGAGAGAAAGTTTTCCCTGAAATGTTCCCTTCAGTGCACATGGGTGGTCAGGGTATTATTTCAATGTCTTCTGCATTAGCCATACAGGTCAGATGTTTGAATCTCCAATTAATTAGGTTCTCCAGTAGCCTGTGTGAAATAAATGAGTGATCTTCATCCAGCCCACTTAGACAAAACCTATCATGACAGTTGGCACATTTTTGGCATTTGTCAGCAAAGTAAGGAGAAAATAAATGACCCATGTAGACAAAATGGGCATCTGATGAGAGCCAATGGATGAAAAATGCAAAGTAGTCTTCATCTACTTCAGAACATACAGCTTGAATATTTGCCAACATGATTTTGCAAGAGAAAGTAAACTTAAAATAAACTCAAAACTCCTCAACTGTCATATGGACCTCTTCGCATTCAATTATTTAACAGTTCATCATGTTCAAAGTCAATGAATGGCAATTTATCATTGAAATATTTTTAAAAGACTATTATTGATAGAATTACCAACAATTAGACATTTTAAACAGAGAGGTGACTCTTGAAAACAAAGATAATTCCATCCTCATTTATTTTACCCAATGAGGATGTGTGAAAAGTATTTTAAGGTTATATTTAGACTACTTTTCCATTATCCAAAATTACTTTCAAATTTTTCTCATGAAACATTTCCAGAAACACTAAATACAGTCTTACAATATGAGGAAGGGTTAATTACTTCACTCAAATCACTTGAATTTCACTCAAGTGCACTTACATATCACAAATATTCACATAGAAAGTCAGATCATATTAAAATTTTCAAAAGCATTTGCTTAATATGGGAACTAGCTGTATAAAAGCAGATAATGGGGGAACTCCTTCCAGCTGAGACACAGGAAAACATAAATCCTTGTAAATTTCTAAGTAAAGTGGTATTTTCTGCCAACTTTTGTTAATGTCTTCATGAAATGCATAAAGATTAAGTCAAGCAAATGACTGCTATTATTTCTTTTGAAGGCTTTAGAGAGTGAAATAAACTGCAAGTTTCAGCTAAATTTTATTGTTTTGTACCTTTGCATTATGCTTAGTCCTAAACCAGGTGAATCAATGGAATAAATTTTTTGAAAGACATTAACAAATAAATCTGATTTCATGTCAGAAAAGGACACATGGAAATTGATTCTACAATTTTCAGACCATTTAAGTTAGGAATATATATATATATATATACACACACACACACACACACAAACAAGTTTCTAAGATTCTTCAAATTCTAAAATCTGAATTATAACACATATCTACTACTTTCATTTTCCTAGTGTCTCATAGATTCCTAATGGATTTTATTTCTTATTTTAAACCATTTATTTCAAATTTTAAATATTTTAAACCCATTTATTTTAAAAAGAAACCATGCATACGGTTTAATTATAGAACATAGACTATGACTTCTACACTCACTTCTGGAGTTCACTGTCCCTCATGGGTCACAGAACTGGCTTGTATGCTTTAGAATTGGTACTTATAAACTAATCTGGGTATGAATAACCTTCTTTAGGGTCCTATACCTGGGTTATGGGGGTGTGTCTGTGAGGTAAGTGTTTCCACGGCCTCCTGTTCCATACTCTTTGGGATTTGATGTTTCTGACCAACTTCTGGACACATTATAGGAATATTGCTACGAGTCTCACCAATACGCAGAAAGCTGATTCAGATCATTTTACTTCTACCCTCATCTTCATCTGTGTGTATCCTGTTCGAAATTTGAAATGCCAACCCTAAAATCAGTAGCACTTTCATTTGTTATATTGGATTATAGCATTATAGTTGTCTTCTCTCTGGGGATTCCCTCCTTGAGTTTAGGACCTGTAAATTTCTCTTTCTTGATTACTAACTGTGCATTTAATTTTATTTTCAGATAGTCATAACATTGTTTTAAGACAGGTCTATTGTTCTAACTTCTGAAATCAAGTAAATATGAAGTTTAATGCAAAACAAAACAAAAAAGTAAGAGAGGGATAAATTCACGGAGGTATTAGTGTGTCAGTATGGAAATGCTAAGTGTAAAGGGTCTAACCAAGCAACGTTCTTATCTCTATGGAAAAGCCTGAATTAGACACATACAACTGAGGACCACCAGCCTTTGTACTCCAGTACTCTTATAGTAAAAGATATCTAAAAAGTGAACACACTGACTGTCATCCCATGCTTTGGTCAAATTTTATAAGTAACACTGTGACATATAAAGGGATGTACCATTTTATTTGCATCAATAGATATTGGTTCAAGAAAAATAAAAGAAATTAAAAAAACTATTTTTAACACAGAAAAGAAAAGTGTCTCTCTTATTCTTGGTTCTGACCAGTTGCTTAAGTGGAACTCATCTTTATATTGAGACTGTTCCTTTAATTTTATAAACACCAATGTCAGCTTTGGTAGTTTGAAAAAAACAGCTGCTGAAGAAAATATGAAAAAAATCCATGCACAAATAATGCCAACACACAAAAGTAGCATACCCTGTTTCCTTTCCAGATTCTCTAGCCAACAATCAAAATGGCATTTGGTATTTGAAACCAACACTTCTTTTCAATTTCTGCTTCTCTTCATGATCAGCTTTTCTTCAAGACCCATAGCAAGAGAAGATATCCACCATGTGATAGAAGTCTGACCCTTATAAATGTTTTACATAAATTCATTTGCCATTTAAGCATCAGCTCAAAACTAGTCATTTAAGTGGTCATACAAAAGAACACCTGAGCTACAGAACTGCAACAATGTCACAAGCAACAACCATGCGCTTGAGCACTTACCACGTAAAACTGTGAGTCTGGTGGATACACTTATTTCTCCCACATTATTCGAGGCCACACACTCATAAATAGCCTCATCCCGTGGAGTCCGCAAAGGTTGTATTCTGAGAACTGATCCAGATCCATCATCAAACTCTATTACCTATTAGAGGAAACAATAGCTGTCACAGGTGTTGTTACAATTGTCTACCTCTCAGCTAAACCTCTCAATGCATTGATGAACCAGCCATCAGACTCTGAATATATTCAGCATTATTCCAAGAGTAAATTTTAACACACTGATAAAACAGAATATTTGGTCAGATAATGACTCTTCTACTAAACAAAAAGAAAAACATAAAACTACATATGCAAATCTTTACTGAAAACCACCAGGATTTACTCATAAAGATATTCCAAAACATGTATGTTGGATAACTTAAACCTAATAGTTTTTTGAGAACCTTACAGTCATGATGGATAAATTCCTCAAATTACTGCCTCTGATAGAACATAGGCACAAGTGGACCCATATAATAATTGGAAGGTAAGGTGAAGAATTAATGCATGCTACCACAAATAGTTCTGCCTGTTCAAAGTGTCTAATGCAGAAAGTATAGATGAGTGGACCATGAAGAAAAACTGCATAAATCTAGCACTTGGACAGCCAAAGACAGCTTTCACAACCCAAAAGCCTGATGGCATGCATTAATTTTGTCATAAATCATTCCAGTATTTGTTCTAGCTTAGCATTTTCTGCATTTTTAGGGCATTCTTGCTAAAAAATGAAGGCTTGCTTCACCAGGCAGAAAATTAATGTCCTAAACACCAAGCCTGAATTCATTATCATTATGAACTCTATGGTGAAGCAGTTTAGGAAAAGTTGTATTCCTTGGCACTGCTAGCTAATTTAAGTACTGCTTTAATGAAAAGAAAAAGATGATTTTGATAATAAATACATATATACACAACTACAGAATCCTCTACCTGCCTTTCTATAACTATGCTGTGTTCTCTTAGCTGCTCACTGAGAGACTGTTCTTTCTTTTTTCTCCATTTCCCTAATGAGTAATATTTCAAAGTGCCTAAATTGTGAATAAATTGACAGTGTCTTATAAATACACTTATGGGATGCCTAATGTCAGGTTTTGTGTATGTGTATGCATATTAACATATAGAGGAAGGAGATTAAATATCTTACAATATGTCCACTTGAATTTCTTTGTGTAATCCGCTCTCATTCTAAATTCACAAAGATATTCAAAATGTTTCATTTCTAAAAGCACCAAAATTTATTTTCAACTCTATTATGACCAACTTTTAAAAATAAATCTACTTCATATTTAGAAAGAAAAAGTTTTAGTTAGTAGAAACTTTTTTTTTCATTTCTTTGTGTTGAAATTTATTTATTTATTTATTTATTTATTTATTTATTTTATTATTCATATGTGCATACAAGGCTTGGGTCATTTCTCCCCCTGCCCCACCCCCTCCCTTACCACCCACTCCGCCCTCTTCCTCTCCCCCCTACTCCCTCAATACCCAGCAGAAACTATTTTGCCCTTATTTCAGTAGAAACTTTTTTGAATATTCCACAAGCATGCTACAGATTTGAGGGAGGATATGTAAGGGAAAATGAGGCATGGGAAACAACAGCCAGGAATTCAGAGATAAACTGTGCATTAATAAATAGCTTAATTAACAGCACACTGGCACTATTATGTTTGTTTTAAGCTTTGCACTCTCTTGGTAAGCTACAGTATTTAGTAAGAATTAAAAAGAAAAAAAGCAGCTCTTTCCCTCTTGGCTTGCCAGCTTACCCAAATAATTAGTGCACTCTGGGAACTGACCAAGGATAGAGTCAAAAAAAGACACTTATCCTGGGGAAAAATCATTTTGTTAAATGACTCCTCTGGGCACGAAAAGTATTTTCCAAGATAAACATTTATCTCAAGGATGAAATCCTGGCTTGAAGAGGGTGTCAGGCACAACCCACCCTTTGTTTAAAGGTATGGTCAGACATATATTTCATAATGATTGCAATTTAATGAACAGACCAATCTTGATAACCCTGGGCCCAACTGATAACACAGTGTACCACCAAGAATGATGAAATATACTAGGTGCTCAAAACAAAAAGGAGCACTCATCCTAGAATAAATGTGAACCAAACCCAAATCCACTTTCTTTTTTCTTTTTTTTAATACCATAAGTATTCCTGATGTTATAGCACTCATTGTACCTTTTATTATATGTAAACCTAACCCTTGTCTAGGGTATGTACTCTCTATCTTTCATTTGCTTTGTTTTACTAACAAACTTTCTTGGTCTCTACCTCAATTTGCCCTAAAGTTCTTTTGTGTGTGTGTGTGTGTGTGACAATGACCAAGGGCCAGGGAGAGGCCCTCTTCCTTGAGCCCCACTGGTTCCAATAACAGTTTAATGTAGACAAAGACATTACACTAATTTATTATTCAATGTCATTGTATGATTACACATTTAAACTGTTTCCTACACTGAGAACTATCTTCTTACAATGAACAAACAATATACCAGATATTACAAGCTGGTATTGTAATTTCTAATCTGATTGCCTATTTACTATGCAGTATTGACTGAATGCTTCTTGCACCAGACACTGCATTTGGTGTTGATAGAAGAAGCAAAACAAAGTTTCTTCTAATAGTCTCATAAGCCTTAGTCATACAACTCCACTGTACACACTCACAGGTAAAAATACATTGTTATACATGTTTGTGATTTCAACTCGGGGCTTAATATTGTTTAATGTACGTGCTTTGTGTAAAAATAATTTTCTCTGGGTGTGTTTATATAACTCTTAGTAGGAATTATATACTAAGCAGAGCTTACACTTTGAAATGTTCACTATTGCAATTTTTAAAAAAATTTTGTTAAGAATCCATTGTCAAGAACAAGCATGTTAAAGAGTATACTTCTCAAACAAAAAAAAATTACTTCATTTAAACTAAATAAGAAAATCACCCAGGCATGATATACATTCACACACACACACACACACACACACACACCATTTTGTTCATGGTATAGGTAATATTACCTAAAGATTTTTCAAGATATGCTATTTAGGTTTAAGTCTCTGTTAAGTATCTGATTTTTAAAGAAACAATGTAAAACTCATCACATGCAAATTTATAAAATTCATTATCTATGATAAAGTCCAGATTTCAAATTTCACCACTGTAAGTAATGAGATTCTTTAGGCATTTGAACTGTACAGTACTCTGTAACACTATGGGAAAAGGAATCAAATTTGTTCTAGATTTTATAACTGCTATATTTCTTTTAACTAGAAATTGCTTTTAATTTCCCAAATTGTGAATTTGGCCATGAAGTAGGGTATAAACTCAGGTAAAAAGGAAGTGGGTTTTTATAATTTTGAGTGACTTGAGAATCCCAGTATACCCCAAAAATCTAATTACTCTTCATGTCTTAAGTTGTAGGCATGATATTGTTTGCTTTATTTTATGCAATTTATCACCTATTTTTCTTCTCCAGAATAACCAATTTCTAAACTGTAAGCCTCCTCACAAACACCCAAAGAATGTCTAAACTATGTTTCATCATCCTTGATACAATGGGCTTTCTCAAATAAAGAACAATTTGTTCAATTGTTAAAGAACAGCTTCTGTGATATCAACCTGTTTACCCAGACAGGTTCCTGCTTCTTACATGGTAGCACTTTTCTCTAAGACACAGAATGAGCAACTTTCTCATTCTAGTTCACACTACCTATAATCACAGGTGTGAACTACAGTTGACATTTTCTGTTCAGTAGCCATTCTCCTTCTTCTTGGTAACAAAAATTTGAATGCTCTTCCAGGAAAAAACTACCCTTCCTGTAAGTCAGGGGATTGAATTGAACTGAACCCATTCTGAGAAAGAGAGGTAGGTTCTGACACCACTCACTGTCTACACAGACTGTTTCAGGGATGACCATGTCACTCAATAAGAGCCAGCAGGATAGGAAGTTTCTGGGAAAGACAAATTTTTCACCCATACTCCAGAGGATGTGGGAGTTCCATCTGGCAATTGTAAGTGGAATCAGCCTGGGAATGAAGCTTACAGATTGATTCTTGAACACTGTTTTTTCTTTCTTTCTTTTATGGTCAGTGCTAAGGATTGAACCCAGGGCCCTGTCCAAGCTGGCAAGTGTTCCACAATTAAGCCATATCTAGGAGATACCCTAGAAAACTTTCTGGTCCCTGGTACAAGCAGACACAAAATCCATTCACTTAAACTCCCAAATTCTCTGTTTTAAAAAGTTATTTAGACCTAAAATTTCTACCCCATGCAACATAAAGAATGTCATATCTCCATGATTATGACACCTTATATCAGAGCAAAGAAGTAACATACAAACCAAGATGCATTCTTCCCCCAGAGAAACAGAACAATGGACCTAATACCTCAAATCTCTGATTGCTGACTTTCTTTCCTTTTTTGTTCCAGACAATTTTAGGTCTCGGGTCTCCTGTAGCTTGACAATGAAAGACGCAACTCCGCCAGAGACTCCTGTCTGATCAACGGGAGTTCGTGTAAACCTTGGAGGTGCTGAAACAAAAACAAAGAAACATTCCAATTAGAGGAAAATTGAAATACAGACTATTACCCTACTGCTGCTGCTTTCCCACAGTCCACACCCTCATGCATGCATACAAGAATGTACTAGGATTAGAAAATTGGAAAAGCACCTTTTACTTTTGGGGGTAGTTCAAAGGGGAAGGAGGTAACTTTCTGGTCAAGTTATCTGTTAGTGCTTTTATTGCTGAAGTCTGTATTAAGGCAGAGATCCAATAACATCCGAAAAGCAACATCAAACATTAATTTTTATTACTAGTATAAAAAAATCCAATTTGTCCTCTGTAACAAAATGAGCTCATCAATCAAAGTGAGTAGAATTTTAGCTCTTTGCTTTGATGCCACTATCAGGACACTGCCAGAAAGCAGCATTGCCACTGCTAAGCTATTAAAATTAGTGACATTTAAGGGAAATTCTAGGAAATTTTAAAGAGACAAGAAATATAGCCCTGAATGAAAAGGTTTGGCAAGAAACAGACATAGGAAAAAAATGGTAAAGTGACTGTCTAACCCAGATATCATGGACTACAGAACTTGGAACTGAACTCCACAATTTGCAAAGGATGAAATGAATCAAGTGGAAGTCTCCAAAGTCAGAGCAAAAAAAAAAAAAAAAGATTAATTTAAATAAAGATGTAGACTGAGATGACTATGATTGAAAGACTAGAAGGTAGAAACTGTTTCAAAGTCCTCTATCTGTTTTAAATATTCCTAATACTCATTTCCATATCCCCTTAAAAACTTATTTTCTAATTTGTATTTCAAAATCTCTCAAAGAGAAATGATGTAAAATGCAGATGAATATTTATACACAAATATATTCATCATGTCATTTATTCAGCAAAAGATTATAAGTAGCCTAAATTCTAACTAATATATGAACTGATATTGAAATAAAGTATGACACAATGATGGGACAGTAAACAAGTTGTAAACTGTTTTATTTATGAACTCTTTACCACATGACATGCAAAATACTTATGATCCAATGATAAATCACCAAAACATAGTACAGAATAATATCTAAGGGATATCTGACAGCAAAGAAAAATGCACACATAAAATTAGACAAAATGGTTGGCCAAGTGATATTTTACTTATTTTTCTTCTTTACATCTACCTTCCACACTTGACTTTTTATAATTTAGAACTGGAAATTTTTTTAAACTGAAAAATATTTCACTTTATTTTCTATTTTTGATCCCTGTTGCAGACTTTTCTCTTTTGCACTGCTGGTTTTTATTGATATGTCATTGAAAATGGTTCTAAGTAATTATAGCTAACATTTATTTTGAAAACAATTCTTAGACTCTAAGAGGAAAGAAAAGAATGCCAACATTCATCCCTGCTGGCTTATCACCACTACTTTCCCTACATTGTTTCATGTTTCCCATGTGATGCTCTTTTGCCTTAATGAAGGGTTCCAATTCCCAGTTTGATTTTGTTGCAGTCAAGAAAACCAAATTCCCATTTCAGTGCCACTACTGTTTTGCTTTTAGATCAATACATAAATAGATGTAGGTGGCATAGCTAAATGACCTAAGTTTATTATTTCTTTGCTGTAAAAACATGACATATGAAATAAATTATTTTGAAGAAATCTTAACAAAATCATTTATATTAATCAGTAATATATGATTTCCACGAAGAGGAAAGTTTACAAAAAGAGAGAAAGACAAGAGCATCTTTGCAAAATTCATCCTGGGAAATAAGTCTCTACTTCGTCAGCAAATTCAACTTGTTGGAAACACAGGGACCTGGGGCCTGTTTATGTTCAGAAAGATTAGGAAAGAAAATGGGTGTTAACAGCTCTGGGTAGCAATACAAACTAGATGATTACCAAAGCTGTGGGAAGTACTTAAGATGATTTGAAATTGGCTAACAATGAGAAAAATAAAAAACGCTGTATATTGTTGTCACTTTTCTGGAAACAAAGGATATTATAAGTTTGTATATTTCTCTTTCTGCTGTTGCAAACAATGCAAATTGATAATTACCACTCACTTGTCAGTATCTAATATAGAAATTATAATTATGCAATTAAATTCAAAGGGAATTTCCTCAAAAAAATTGCATTGTATTGCCACAATAAATGTTACAACACTGTCATTTTTAGGTACATTCCTTCTCCTGTCCATATTTCAAAAATTGTCAATTCTTAATGAAAATCAACTTTAACAATGCAGAACTCGTTTAAGTTCTGTCTTGAAATTTCTTGCAAGAATGTGTGAAGGGAGTGAAGAGAAGTTGTGTGAAATGATTGTGTACTAATCAGAAACTGTATGAACCTAGAGGTAGAGTGCCATTTTCCCAGCACTGAAATTTTTATTTAAGGGATAGTAGTCTATTTGTCATCCCAAAGAATGAAAGAAAGATGGAAATTCTTACAATCTGCCAAAAGGCTGTGGCTACTTGAGCAACTGTTTTCCATGTCCCATTCTCATGTAAGGGTCTGAATTAGAAAGTTCACCTGAAAGTAGGTAGTAGGTGAGAACAAAAAAAAGGAGTTAAATGACTGTTACATCTAAAAATCTTATTTCTAAATGGAGAGCATGGGAGACAAGCATTCATATATTCAGAGAAGGGGATAAATAATCTATCTTCAAGGTATGTTTCTCCTTTAGCTTCCTTTTCTGGTCATGTATGCAAGTTTTGGTGCTAATAATGACAAGGATGAGAATCTGTCAAACAAAGACATGACTACTGGATGCTATTGTAAGGACTGGATTTCTAAGACTATGTCATATAACAGAATGAACCTAGTGAACAGTGGATCTATTTCAGGATCTGAGACTTTTTCTAAATCCTACAAACTACCACTGAGGTCACTGTATTAACTTGTATTCAAAAAAAATTGTGAAAAGGGTCCTTAAAAGAGGGATGGCATTTCAGGTGATTATTCACAAAACTGCTCAATGGAAGACATTGAGCCTTATAGACAAGAATATCGTGACTTTCTTATAAGATCTTATATTCTACATTTTCCTACAAAATCCAAACCACATAAAGGATAAATGTTATCATTCTACGATAGAAAGCAAAATTCTAGATGAAATAGTAAAATCCTTTCAGTAAGCATGTGTGTTGCATAAATAATAATTTTATCTGGTCAAATTCTCAGACTGATGCTGTCAGTGCTAGGCAGCTGGCCAAAGGAAAGATATGAAATAGGAGTAGGAGGAGGAAATAACTTCAGCAAATGCTGGAGGCAAGTAAAGCTCTGTATTCCCAAAGCACCCACTTTCCCTTCCACCTCAATTTAATAAAAGGAAGTAGATGAGTCCTCTTCCTTTTCAGGTCATAGACACTGCCCAAATTTATCATGCTTTACAGAAGAAAAGAACGGGGAAAGAATCCAAGAAAGGCATAAAACAAAGACCTTTATAATAAAGGCACAAAATACAACAACCTCTGATCTGAATGAAAATCCTCATTTTTAATCCATGAGATATAACCATCAATGTTACAGCTGGTCTAAGTAAAAAAGAAGAAGAAGAAGAAGAAGGAGGAGGAGGAGGAGGAGGAGGGAGGAGGAGGAGGAGGAGGAGGAGGAGGAGGAGGAAGAAAAAGAGGAGGAGGAGCAGGAGGAAGAGGACGAGGAAGAAGAAGAAGAGGAGGAGGAGGAAGAGGAGGAGGAGGAGTAAAGATGAGGACAAGGGTATTAGTTTTCAGTCACCAGCATTTAGAGAGGTATCTTTCCATGAATGTTGCAGCTAACTGCCATGGCTATCCACCTGCACTGTGCTTTGCAAAATGCATCTCTGCTCCAGCTGATTTTGACAAGTGAGAAGTATGATCTTTTATTAAACTAATGCCAGGAACTGCAGAGGTCAAACTACTGTTCGATCCAGAAAGTCTATTTTCTAAATGGAAAAATAGAGAAGCTAAACATGTATATGAGTCAGAACAGAGGCATGGCTGAAATTCTAGAATGTGTCCAATATGCTCACTGGCTGATTTCAAAGACTGTACATTCTCATGATGCATACACAGGACACATAGTAACTCCAGGAATACAGTAGATTATATGCTCTGTACATCTCAAGAGGATCAACAAGCTCTCAACTGATTTTTGCTTCTAAAATATTAGATTCTTCCTTAAAATAAAACCAATGCAAAGCCCATGCATGCTGTAATACTATTTTTGCTGTATCGGGTTTCTTATGACTAAACTCTGAAGACAAGGTGGTAAACCCAATGGGAACTTATGCTCATTAAACTTAGGGCAGGAAATCAACCAAAACTAGCAACCAGGCTTTGACCATACTTAGTGAAACTGCTACACTGAAGACAAAACTGTCTCTTTCATACAATACATTAAGTAGAGACAGACATCAGCTGGGCAAAATCACTGAAGAATACTTAGTATTATCCATGGAAGAACAGAAATTGTGAAAAATTCTTAAAGGCTAAGAACTCAGATTTGATTCGCCAACTGAGAATCACTTAAAGTAGAATAACTGAAAGGATCACATGCTATAGAGTGGAAAGAAGAAATGAGGGTGCCATTTGTTTAATTTAATTCTAATTAATAAGCTGCTTCTGTGGACATCAACAAAATATATTTCATAGGAACAAAACTAACAGCACGTAACTAATTGGTTTTGTTTCTTTTAGCTGATTATTATTTCCTTAAATAGCAAGCTTTAGATATTTGTCATAGCAATGTACTTAAAATCTTGAAAGGGAAAGGTTAATAATACTGTTAAAGGATAGTAAGGGAGAGGGCCAGGGAACATTCATAAGAATATGCAGGTGGTCCTGTCTTTAGGAATCTGATTCCTGTACAAATGTTGTCTGTAGAATTTATGAGGCCATCAGTGGAGCTCACCTGTGATCTTTCTCTGTAGGTGTCAGGATAAGGGCTCTGAAGGAACATGACCTTTGTGGTGGGTTGGGTGGAAAGTACAGAGCACAGGAGGTGGCTTAAGGGTGGTCTTAGGATAATGGCTGGTTTTCAGAGACAGCACATC